GCTTTCTGTTCAATTTTGCTGTGAACCCAAAATTCCTTTAAAAAATAAAATATATTAAAATAAAAAAACCCTCAATGGATGGCTTAAACACAGATTAGATTGTGCTGAAGAAAGAATTATAGTGGGTGGGAATTGAGATCTGATTAATTTGCCCAGAATAGATAAAAAAATGGAAAATATACAAAATTAAGAGAGAAGAATGATAGTTAGAAGGCTTGACATACATTTCATTAGAGCTCCAGAACTGAATAAGGAGAGGCAATATTTGAAAACAAAATATATGAGAATTTTCCAGAATAGCAAAATCACATATTTGTAGATTTAGGAGCCTCAGTAAGTTCTCAAGCATTTAAATAAAAAGAAACCCACACTTAGACCCACTGTGTGAGGGCATCCAAAACAAAGAAAGGTCTTAAAATAATCTAGCGGGGGAACAAATGATGACCAAAATGAAATGATAATTTGACAGCCAACAATTTGACAGTTGACCATTGCTATTCTCAACAGCAACTGTGGAACCTAAAAGATAGTGGGGCCCAATCTCCTCAAAGAACTGAGAGTATTTACTGTCAACCCAGAATTTTGTATCCAGTGAAACCACCTTTCAAGAATGAAGGTGAAAGACATTTTAGGAAAAACAAACTTGAGATATAACTCAAATACTGGACAACAACTAGATGTGTGAATATGTGTGTGTGTGACTGAAATTAAAGTGTTCTGAAGTCCTTGTATTGTCCAGGTTAAAGTTAACTTTAGACTTTATTGAGTATGGATGTCATCACTTCTAGGTAGCCATTAAAAGAATAGAAACAGAGCATATAAATTTCCAATAAGAAGATTAAAAGATGGAGTAGGAGAAAAATCCTTAATCACATGAAAAGAAGATAAGAAAGGAAGAAAAAACAGAAAAATCCAGACAAAAAGAAAGTACAAAATAAGATGTTAAAAACAACTACAACTATATAATCACAAGAAGAGTAAAAAGGAATAAATCTGCCAGTTAAAAGAGAATAATTGCTGGACCATAAACACAACAAAATCCACTTATACGCCACCTATGCGAGGCAAACCTAGAACGTAATGACATAGAAAGTTGGAAAGTAAATGAATAGAAAGATTTCTCAGGCAAATAACTGAAAAAAGATGGCATAGCTATATGAATATTAACAAGCAAAAAGCATTTCATAGGGGTGTATGGTTCAATTCACCAGGAAAAAATATAAATAAATTTTGTTCACGCCCAGTAAGGTGACCATATATAAGGCACAATTTGCCAGAAAAATTAAAAGATACTGACAGATCTCAAAGGAGATTTTAACACATCCTTCTTAGTACTTGATGGATCAAGCAGACTAGATATTAGGCTATGGAAGATTTGAGCAACATGCTTAGCAAACTTGTTCTAAACAGGTATAGTACATTGTACGCCAGCATACATGGGTCATTTATAAAAACTGACTATGAAAGAAGCCAAAAAAGTCTCAACAAACTTCAAAGCCTCAATTATCATGAATTTGATAATTTCAGTACCATACCAGCCATTGTTTCTATGATCAAATAAAATATGTAAAACACATAGTGGAAGCTTAAATGTTCATTTCCCCTTTCAAGACCTGTTGTAAAATCTTATGTCAGATTCTGTCACGTGGCAGGTTAAATCTTGTTTCCTACTTGATCAAAGCCTGTGGTTTTAATTGCAATTATTCTGTTACCTGGATCTTCGTCCTGATGACAACATTATGCAAGAAATTCTGTCGTTATTATGAGTTATGATATAGGAGTACTATTTTAATCCCATACTCCTTCTCCTTGACTCCACCCCAGCATTCGTACTTCCCCCACATGCAAATTTGTGGCTGAACTTTTCATAAAAGGAGAACAAATTTTGGTGCGTTTTCACGGCTGACCTAAGCAGACTCACTCATGTATAGGCAGTGTGTCTTAAGACCTTTCTGCAGGACACCAGAGATTCTGTTCCACTTGAGTGAAAATCGCACAGAGCTCCTGATCTGGTGGTTGGGCTTGTCGAAAGCAAACTTTTCCCCCAAGATTAGGCAAAAGCAGCTCGGATTTCTAAGATTCCTGACCGAAAAGACCTTAATACTGGATTCTCTCTTGGATATTCGCACAAGACAGATCAAACTGGACCCATCACACAGGCAAAGAAAGAATGGAAAGACAGTGCATTCAACCCTTTGGTCCACTAAAGTTGTATCAGTATTTTGACCACAAAATCAGTTAATGCTCTTCAAAGCTTTCTGAAATACGTATCAACAAATGTTAACACTCACAAACATTTTAATGTTTGAACTTTTTAGTTTTTCTCCTGTAAAGGAAAGGTACATGGATAGAACATCTACGGATAGAAGTTAGGAGACCTGGGCTGTGATTCAGCTCTGTGGGATCCAGGCTAAGCACATCTTCAGGCCTGATTTCTTCTCTGTGAAGTTAGGAATAGGTTTGAATAACACTTTTGGGGTCCTCTGTGAAGCCCATAACAACCACATCTCTCCCCTTCCCTTCCCCCGTGCCTGGGCTCCTACGCTCTGAGCCCTTTTGATCCACAGTGATGGGTCCCAGTACCTCCTTTTGTTGTGTTCTGGCTACAAATGATTTGACAAGGAATGACCCTTTATTCACCTGGGCCAACAAGATTCTCTTTTAAAAATTTTCCTAGTTTAGGGCTAAACGGTAGACCGCCAGTATGTCCTGACCTCTAGACAGAGGTGACAGAAATTTAGGAGTTGTTGAGTGACTGTCTTCCATCATAGAAACTGAAAAGTAGAGTGACAACACAAAGAGAGTAACAGTGTTTGCAAAGAGAGTGACAATGAGGCAAGGGTATGGATGGGAGCAGAGATGAGTGTAGGGGAGAAGGATGAGTTTCCAGGCACCAGTTCTAGCCCCTGCCTGAGAGTCTAGGGGCACACTGAACCTCGGGTTACTGGGTTTCTGCTCCGAATTGTGTAATCAATTCCTACGTTTTGCTTGAGATTGCTCCACTGGTTCTGTTACATCAAGTCGGAATCCTAATTAATACAGCGGGCTGGATCATTTCCGGGGTCCCTTCATCTGCACGATTCTGTGGCGGGAGGATGGAGAAATCATTTTTGTTCCCTCCTCCAGATAGGGACAGGAAGTGCCATTACGGTTTTATACTCTGAAATAAACTCAGCCAAGGGCTGGCTATTCTTTGGATTATAGTGGTACTGGCTTCTAAATTATTCTTCTCGACTACTAATGCATTTCCCGATCTGCAGACCAAGTGGTAATTTTGATCAAGGTACGTAAGATCCAGATAATCCTTATGAAGGATCTTTTGTCCTGAACCACACGTGATTGGTTCTGTATCAGGTTAGAGCAGCCTGGACAACTTTGTGTGGCCACAGACACACTGTTTTACTGCTCCTCCTCTGCTCTAAATCTCCAAATCAGTCTCTAACAAAATTATGCCATTAAGACCTTTCCTGTATCGTCCCAGAGGTCTGTGTAATGATCAGGTTTTGGTCAGGTCTCAGAAAAGCTGTGTTTTTACTGCATCTGACATCAAAAGAACATCATAAAACAAAAACAGGAAAGAGTTCCTGTGCACAAGAGATTGAATGTAAAGCATTTACTTTCTATCCTATTTTAGGCACATGCTTAGGAAAAATCTTGAGCACCTTACCAGTTTTAATTACTAAATATTTTGGTTTTAAAATCTGAATTTGCTTTATTTTTTTTATTTTATTTTTTTTTTTTTAAAGATTTTATTTATTCATTTTTTCCCCCCAAAGCCCCAGTAGATAGTTGTATGTTGTAGGTTCACATCCTTCTAGTTGCCGTACGCGGGACCCGGCCCCGGGCTGGACGGGGAAGTGGTGCCTCGGGGCGCGCCTGGGATCCGAACCCGGGCCGCCAGCATCAGAGCGCGCGCACTTAACCGCTAAGCCATGGAGCCGGCCCTGAATTTGCTTTAAATGTCAATTTAGAGCTTACTTTTTTCCCAAATAGTAAAATATAAGATTAATCATCTTCCTTAAGTAGAAAATAATGCATTAGTTATTATATATTTTCTCCCCACTTTAAGAAGATTTTGAGGTGTTGTACACTTAAAAAGAATATGTAACCATGGAAATAAAACTAAGCAAATCTAAAAGTACGTTCAGAAGCCAATTAGAAAGAGAAGGGAGATAATGGTAAAGGGAACTTAAAATAAATTGGTTACTAAAATTGAGTATTAAATTTATCTGAGGGAAAACATTCCAGGTTGAAGAATACATACGATTGCCTTTTCCTGTCTCTAAATGTTTATTTACAGGATACTTATAGCAGTATAATAGACAATCCAAAAACTATCTATTTTTTTTCAATTTAAGTCATTCAACCATTAGAAAACCAAAAACAGAACAGTGTATGTCCAGAACCTCAATCCATCAAGCAATGAGTTTCAAAGAAACTGAATTCATTCTGCCTCTCCTGTTTTTTTTTTTTTCTTTTTCCTTTTTTGATTTTTCTGAAAATTCTGAAGGTCATGGAGGTGGAAATGGAAACTATGTCAAGATCAACAAGACTTGAGGAGGCGGAGGATTTTGAATGCTATTTTTTAAAAGGTCAAGTATATTATGAAATAATGTTGATATCACACTAGATACACTGATATTTCTAGAAATACCATCTCCAGGAAAAATTTTTTTAGCTTTTATTAATTTGATGCTTCTGAACATCATAAAATAAATGAACATAAAACATTTTAGTTAACTTGGAAGGGAAGATAAATTCCATTGAAGTGGAAATACAGAGGAAAGATATGTACATTTAGGCAGATATTCTAAATTCTGTGTTAGGTTAATGATTATGAATGTACTTGAGCGACAGTGAGACGTTTTACATCATTTCTAGTCTGAATACTTCAATATTTTATCTAAACTGAACAAGATGTCACGAAAAGAACGTAGCGAAAATGCACCTGCGATTAGAAGTGATTATGCCTATCGCGCACAGACATCTGTATGTCTCCCTTAGGACACGTTGCCTCTTTTCTTCTGCAGAGCTTTCATGAGATCTGACATGAAATCTTGCTCGCCGCTCCCTGCCCCGCTGGGGGGTCCCGGGTTCTCTTGCCTCTTTGGGGGCATGGGAGGCCTTTTGGCGACAACGGGGGACTGCTTCGGGGCTTCGGGGGCGAGGGTGGGTGGGGGCGGCGGAGGAGGCGGTAAGGAAGACCCCGCCTCCCCCGGACACCACGGCGGTGGGGGAGGCACGAAGTCCGGGGGCGCTTCGTTAAAATCGGGGGGCGGCGGAGGCAGCTCGTCGTCCTCCAGAGGCGGCGGCGGCGGTGGCGGCGGCAGGGAGTCGTCGGGCGGGGGAGGGAAGCCGCCGCCCGTGCCCTTGGCCTTGGGGGGGGTCACCGGCCTGCAGCTGATGTCTGAGGACCGTCGCACCGGAGGGGGCGGTGGCAGACTGGACTTCGGAAGGTGATGGGCCCTGGGCGTCCCTGGGTGGTGGTTACCAAGGGCTGGCGTCTTGTCCTTCAACAAAGCAACAACAGCATTATTCTTGACAACACAGCACCGTGGAGGTGACATTTCCATTGACAGGTGAGACCTCACTGATTTAGGCAGCCTCTGCCCCGGGGGGGAGCCCCAGTCCTTCCGTCCCTGAGACTGCAGGTGGTTCATGAGCCAGCTCATCTTTGTCTGGGACAGAGTGGCCTTTATAAATAGTCCACATGGCCTTTATCATTATTACCAATAATGACATTATTATTTCACGCTATTACCTGGCGCTAATCTACCATGTCTTCTGTGAATGGAAGACTTTGCCCTATTCAACGAGGTGTGTATTATATATAGATTATACATGTACCTCCTCGGAGTGGCCTCATACAGGAGTTACTGATGTCTTTAAAAGAGCTTTAGAGGTATAGGGCTTAGCTAGTTGTGCGGCTCTCTCAGTCTTTATCTACCCTACAGTCAGCCTCAGGCAACTCAAAATGGAAGCAAAATGGCTCTCCTGGAATTCCCACTCAGCCTTGGTTCTCAGGACAAGCCACCAGGGTCCTCAGCACATGCAGCCACAACATTTTTCTTGTCTGAGTTGGGCTGGTTGTGAAGCTCAGTCGTCAGGAGCAGGTGTCTGCAAAATTATTTTGCTCCTGTACCATACCCTCAGTGGCAGAGGGGTGGGTAAGGAGCTTCTCCAAACCGTCCCCAAATCTCCTGGCTGAATGTCCTGCTTTGATTAGCACAAACAAGATGGAAGGGAAAAAGAAAACTGAAAGGGTTCTCTCCAGGATACAGCTGAACTTTGTGCAAACCTGAGTACAAAGGATACCACCCCTGGTGAAGAGCTGATCCGCCCGCTCCTGCAGCAGTGTTTCCTTGTTTGCATGCTGAGAACAAACGTGCCTCTTCCCAGGACTGTAGGCTACTAGGGAGGAGCTAATTATACACTTCGCTCCCTCTGGCTTAACAGCTTCAAGGGAGGGGGTGGGTGGACCAGGAATCTGCACACCTGGTCTACAGTCTTAGATTTACCTTTTCTTAACTGTGTGCAAGTCAGCTTGCTAATCAGGTATAACATGAGCATCGTAAGCCCTGTTATTATGTCTCAAGGTTATGGTGAGATCAAATGAGATAAATGTGTGGGTGGGTTCTGAAGAGTAAAATCATGATGCGTGCGCTACTGGTAGAAACCAGAACACCAACCAAACTTGGCCAAAGGCTGACAGAGGCACAGTCCTTCTGCCAGCAGTGGAATTGGTAATAATAAACTATATTTATATAATACAACTTCCCCAGGAATTTCAGGGGGCTAAATTGAATCTATTTTAGTGATAATTATCATTGCAATTTACATTTTATCAGGCTTTCACTTTCTTTCTTTCTTTTCTTAATAACCTCTTACCACTAACGATTAAATTTAAAAGTTTTTTTTTTTCCAGCAAAGTGCCATATGATTGAGTTTCTATTTTATTTAGTTTATTTGCTTAGCATGATAAGCTAATTAACTGGTGATGTATTTTTTAAAAATTTCTGCACAGGCAGTTTGGGAATCGGTGTTCGCACACATCTAAGTGATTTCTATTCTGGGACCCTTTTATTGCTTTCAGTGTTTTAAAATGTTTCTTTCCCTTGGCATTATAGAAATCATGAAAATAATAATAGCTGACAGTACATCACTTGATGAGATTGTTAGGCTTGAGAAGTTAACAAGAATATAAGAGAAATACAACCTTTGAAGGTCTACAATCGTTTTCAAAAATTATAAGAAGTTAAATAAATACAAGATTTAATCGTTTCCACCACTGGCTGATGGACAAAAATAAAGGCATGAATGAAGTAAAAAATTACTAAAGGTACGGTTTTTTAAGGTTGTTTTGAATTACACATGGAAAATATTCAATGGAACTTGTATAGTCAATTGAAACGTTACCAACTGGACTACTAATGACAATTTTTAGCTGCAACATTTAGATAGATTTAAATGGAGCTTCATTAATCTCCTCTACTGAAAAAACAAAGTTATGGAGAATGTTATATCAATGTGGCTATTATTTTAAAACGTGTTTTCTTCTCCATCACCCTGAGGATGTGGGTAGAACATTAACAGAAAAATATAAGATGCACATTCTATAGTGGAACCCTTTTCGCATCTTCTAATCTGGTTTGGGGGCCCAGTTAGCATTTAATATAGGGCTTCTGACTAACTGGTTGCTTTAAATTCAGAAAAAATAAGTAAAAATCTCAAGGGCTTAAAAAGCAGGTGCCACTTTCAGAGAGTGCTAAAACCACTTGCCTCAACCAAGAAGATCACTTCAGTCAAAATAAATGTAGCTAAATTAAAAATATTTACCAATTCTCAGCATTAAAAAAAAAATTCTTATATTTTCCTGAAGCAGTGTGATAATAGTTGGTTTTAACTTTCCATTCTAGCCTATGTAACTTTAAGATAAAAAAAAAAAAACAATTATCAAAATGAAATTACAGTGCCCTCTTAGTTGTTGGAACTATATTTTCTCTTTTTAAAAGAGCAGTAAATAGAACACTGCTATGGTTTAGAATATGGGCTCACAGATGACAGTCTGATAGAATCGTGTCAGTCACTCTCTGTTCTTACCTTAGGTGCTTCAACGTGTCTCTGAGTTTCTTCTAGAACAGCACTCGCAGAATGCGCAGCCTGGGGAATCTGACCATTGGCCTGGGTGGTGCCTGTTTTAAGTCCTGAGAGGGAGGAAGAGAGACAAGAAGAGTGGGCAAGGCATGTTCAACATTCTTGAAAGTTAATCTGAATTATAAAGCAGTTTATACCTTCAAAGCAAAAGAAAAGGACTCACAGGTACATAGTGCTTACGAGAAATCTGAAGTTCTGTGGCAATATTTCATGAGATTCAGCAAAAGTTTCAGGAAAATGAATGCTTTATACAGGCTACAAAATCTGTTTAACTGGGGGCCTACAGAATAGTATGTTCTCCTTTTAAAAACTTTTGGTAATGGGAGAATAAACCTTGAAAACCAATTCTTAAAAAAAAATTCCCTTGTTGAAGATTTTTCTGAAATGTGTGTGTCTGGTTTCATACCATGCTGTGTACAGCAATGAATTTTGAATATTATCCTCAACAAAAACTATTTTGGGCACAAAAATAGTGGACAGAGGGGACTGAGCAAAATGTGTAGACCTCTGATATACCCTGGAATCAGATTTTTTTCCAGAAAGTCTTGATATGCACTTATTTTATTTTCCTGCTTTTTTTTTTTGCCCTTTCCCACAAAAGTATAACTAACTGAGGTTTCCCAGTTTTAAGAGAATGTATGTTGATCTCTCTGGCTCCTCAGAGAACATTCTGGAGAGGACTGTCAGCTCCACACATGGATGCCATTTCTCCAACGAGTAAACTGCCACTCACCCATGACATGAGGTCTTCTCCTCATCCAGTAAACTCAGAGATGTACTCAGTACCACTATTCTGTCAAGTATTTATGAAATGACTGTTCACTTGCATCTTAAAATATTTTTCTAATATTTTGAGAACCCCATTAATCTATACAACACCTCAAAGAAGGCTGTTAAGGACTTCAGGAGACCGAGAAGAAGGAAAAGTTTGATGAGGAATTATACAGTCTCAAAGTAGATTTCTACTAATTAAGTACAAAATCAAACATCTGTACAGGAGAGAAACTGGACAACACCTTAACCAAGTGGTCAAAATTAATGTTTCCAATGAGGGGCAAATAGACATCAAATGCCTCTGATTGTGACACCCTGAGGACACAACAGCCCTCACACAGTATTCCTGCCAAAATGCATAACCTGAAATGAATTATGAGGAAACATCAGACACATCCAAATTGAGGAACGTTCTATAAAATAAATGGCCCTTATTCAAAAAATGTTCATGTCTTGATAGACAAGGAAAGACTGAGGAAATGTTCCAGATGAAAAAGGACTAAAGAGACATGGTGACTAAATGCAATACACCATCGTGAACGGAAGCTGTGCCAGGAAAAAACATTGCTATAAAAGGCATTATTGAGACAATTGGCAAAACTGGAATATGGATGGTTTAAATAAAAATATTCTATCAATATTAAATATTAAATTTCCTGAATTTGATAACTGTACTATGGTTAGTAAGAGAATAGCCTTATTTTCAGGAAATACATACTGAAGAATTAAGGGGCATGATATATTCAATCTACTCTCACATGGTTCACAGAAAAATATACACATGTAGAAGGGGGAGTGGGGAGAGAGAATGATAAAGCAAGTGTGACAGAGAGTCACTATTGGTGATCTGGGTGAAGGGAACATGGGAGTTCTTTGTACGGTTCTTGCAACTTTTCTGCAAGTTTGAAATTATTTCAGAATAAAAAAAATATTTGGGTCCATTTATACAGTTAAAAGATTAGAACAAGCTATACCAGCTTTCTTTACTGTCAGATTTTTCATTATAAAATCCACGCTCCTCATTCAGCGAGGACAGCCATCTCCTTGTTCAGAGCAGGGCTTCGCTTGCCGTCCTCTGCACGCCCCATCAGTGCTGTCAGAACGTACGTGATGTGCCACGTAAATATGGGATCACTCTATCTCTAAGGCTTATTAAATGTCTCCCTCTAATTAGCCAAATCTTTGCTCTGGAGGTCGGGAAGTAACAGGTGTAAACATCTTAAGATTTTTCATAAGGCCTTGTGCACCATGCCATACTGGGCCTGGGAGATTTAAACATCCTAGATTCCAAAGTGTTCAGTCTTCTCATTTCCTGTGGTCTATTCTCTTTCTCCTCCTCCTTTTTCTTTTGCATATTCAAACCCCTTTCCTTATATATAATGTAAACACCTTTGTACAAGGCAGACAGAAACTGACGCTGAATATTGAAGACTATTAGGGAAATTTCCTTAAAGGGCACAAATTATATTTTCTTTTTGCATCTTTTGCCTAAACACATACACAGGCTGATTTCTCAGCAACATAGTGTACATTTCTATGTACCTGGGATGTCCTGGTCTTTACCAGTCTGTGAGAACAAATGAAGTCACCTTTATAGTAATATCCCAAATGCTCCAAGCTGCCGTCCTCCCATTTACCAGGAAGTCCAATTTTTTCCATGGGTTCTCTGCCCCATTCTGAGATAACCCATGCTGGGTACCCACAAAACCCATATATTCTGTAGGTGCCATCAATTTGGGATCTGGGTTGTCCTGCATTCACTGTATCAACAGTTCCAGCTGTCAAGCAGCAATACAGCCTCTCCCACCGCCATGTCTCACCAGGAGTCCTCAAAGGAATTAGGGGTTGGAAGTTCATTAAACATATATAAGCCTCACATATTTCACAGGACTCAAGTGCATTATAAGGAGGGGACCAACTCCCTCCCATTCTTAACCCATGTGGTTTTCGAAGGGCTGATCCCACCACTCAACCTGGCAAATCAGAGAATGGCATCCTCTTGGGTACAGCGAGATGATTTAGGAATGAGCATGAAACAGCCCTCCTGAGGCTTTTTCAAAGATGGGGCATTCTCTTTGTACTAAGATTTCTGGCTGTGTGAAAAGTGTAAGCCTAGAGAGTCAGTGGCAATCCCTGCCACCTCATGGGGACAGTGCCTAAGAAAGAAACAGTATCTCGATGACATCACTTAAACCCCTGGATCCTACTGTGCCTGAAAGCAGGCTATCCCTGGGCTTCCTAGTTTTGTGAGTTAATAAATCTCTCCCCCTCCCTTTTTGTTGCTTAAACTAAATTGAATTGAATTTCTGTCAACTGCCATGTAAAATGAGTCCTGACTAAAAATAGTTGCTAAAGGCATAAGGTCATTTAATAAGTCCTAAAAAAGCCTCCATGACTGTTCCCTATAGGAAAGAAAAAACTGCCATTTATCAAGAATAAATTACTTGTTGTTAAACACTTGAGACGTAGAACAATGCCTCCGTGTTTTTTTCAGTTGGGTAATCGTAGCAGAAATGCACGAATCACATGTGGTTTATGACTCCCAGCCAGCGACCTTGCACCACTTGGTTGTGTTTCTCCAAGACTCTGGTTCCACTGCGTAAGGAAGGAGATGGCAGGAGAAGAGGAAGGGGAGGAGACTCTTTCCCAGAGTCCAGAACAGGACTCTGGATTCCCAGAGAAAAGTTGCCAACTAAAGCGGAGGAGGCATCAGACAGAATGGGACTGGGGCTTGCTGCCTCCAGCCCTTATTGTATGATTTTACAGCACGTCCCGCAGGGAGAGCTAGTGCCAGCTCCGGTTCACATAGCTGTGGTTTTTGTTCTGATCTATCACGCATGGTTCCCAGGTCCTCTGCGAGGGAACCCCACTCTGCAGGCTAATGACTCAAAGAGGCAGTTGTTGGGTGACGAAGGGGGGTCCTTGACTAGTGCCCCAAACAGCCCGAAGTTCAAGTAAGTGCAGTCAGCCAGTAACTCCTCTGACCCTAAAGAACATTTTTTTTCAACACTATTCTTGAAATTCACCTTAACTGTTTTTTAGGGAGAAGTGTCGGAAGGAACATATGTTTCGATTTGTCCTGGGTCCTTTGAATGGACATGGGTCCCTTAAATGCTTTCTGAGGGCCCTACTGATTTTGTGCAGTGAGTTGGGGCAAAGAGAGAGGCTTTGATAATAATATATGGCAAGAACTGAATTTTAAAAGATAGCATCGTCTCAAGCAGGTCTTTGTTGCTAAGATGTGATCACGGTCATTGTGTGTGTATATGTAGGTGTATAACTGAGAAGAATGAACTCCACCTTCTGCTTGAAAGTGGCTTCACTTCCTTCTAAGCTCATCTTCAGTTCCTTCTAAGCTAGACGCTAGTGCAGCTCTTTAGGGCCTAAAATCCCACACCGCAGGTGCGCATGGCAATAAATTCTAAAGCATAAACTGAAAGAAAGTTTAAATTGAGGATTTTTTTCCCTTTAGATGCTCACTGAAGCATTTTATAAATAAGCAGGGATGGCTCCCAGTATGGTTTATTTTTAAAACGTCAGCACATTTGTTCTCTTTAGGGCTAGCGTCTATGACAGAACCTAAGAATTTTTAATAAATAAGACTCTACAGCAGCACCAACATGGGTTAATTTTCTACCTACTAAGGGATATTCCATTGTGGGCAAGATCTCTCTTTTTAATCAACAGAAATCTCATCTAAATTCTGCAATGTTGTTCTTCAAAAATTGATTTTAAGAAATTCATTTAGGAGAAATGGAACTAACATTTATTGAGCATTTAGTATTAAGGGCATTCGCATACATTATTTTATTTCATCCTCAGAGAAACCCCACAAGGTATTAATTCATTTTTCCCTTTGTTGTCCCAATCGCCTTTGAATTCTAGCTGAGTGCCTATTATCTGCCAGGCATCGCGCCCCGTGGTGGAGAAACCAGCATACATAAGACAGAAACAGTGCCTGACCTCGAGATTCAGTGTCTAGAGGAGGGAACAGATGCTAAACTAATAGTCACACAGATTACTAACTATGTACTAGCCTCCAAAGGACAATGCATTTGGGAGCTGAGGATAGGCAGGAATTAGCCACATGAAGGAAAGAATATCATAAGCAGAGGGAACAGCATCTGTGAAGCCTCTGAGAAAGGATGATGTTTGGGGCTTTGAAGAACTGGGGAAAAACAAATGGCCTGTGTGGCAGGAAGAGGAAAACAGGGGTGGGGAAAGAGGGAGAGATGGGCAAGTCTCATATTATGCAGGCTTTGTTGGCCTTGCTAAG